ATATATATATATATATATATATTATATATATGTATATAATGTATTTGTGTGTGTGCGTGTGTGTGTTTGTGCGTGTATGTATGTATATATGTGTGTGTATATATTTGTATATTGTATACACATACATATATACATACAGACACACACACATACATCTCTCTCCCTCTCAAATATATGTATATATATATAATATATATATATAAAGATATATATATATATATATATATATATATATATATATATATATATATTTGCATATACATGTACACACATACACACACACACACGCACACAGCACACACACACAACACACACACACACACACACACACACACACACACACACACATATATATATATATATACATATATATAGATAGATAGATAGATAGATAAAATATATACATACTGCATTTATATAAATATACACATGCATATATATTCATCATACAACACACCACACACACACACACACAACACACACACACACACACACCACACACACACACACACACACACACACACACACACACACATACACACACACACACACACACACACAACACACACACACACACAACACACACACACACACACACACACACACACACACACAACACACACACACACACATACACATATATGGGTGGATGCCTTCTCGCTCTCAACTGCCACTACTGGCTAGCTTAGTGCAAAACAAAATGCAGCTCTGCATAAGCCTCGCCCCCGGCAGTTCATAGCCTCTCCTTCTCGTGGCCACCATGGAAATTGGGTACCTTGCAGTCCCAGGCTAAACTGGGGGATCTCTGAGCAGCAGGAGCCTTCAGAGGTACAGTCATGGCCCACTGGCATGTGGACACACCCTGGCTCTGTACCATCTCCTGTCCCTCAGCTCCCCTAGGGTAAATCGGTGGCTTGGGGGAGGAGGACTGGCAAGGCCCACCAGATCAAAACTCATCTGCAGTGCTAGCTATAAACGGAAATGCTGGGGAGAGAGGAACTGCTCCAGCAAGTGAGGCGGGCTGTGGGTCCTGTCGAGATGCCTGCTGGGGCTTAGGATGAGAACATTACTCATTCTGCCTGCACTCTTGCAGCTGCCAACCCAGTGTTGAGGCCTGTAGGACAAAGCCTAAGGGAACCCTACTGGAGGATGTTGGGCCTGGCAACCTGCCACGCCCTTTTATATGGGGCAATGTGGGTGGGAGTAACAGAGGTGGTGTCTACCCATCGCAACTGCTTGAGGTTTAACCTCAGGTTGGGAGCTTAGAATATTGTCTTTACAGCAGGATGATAGATTACTCCTGTTTTCGAGGGAACTGAGTGTTTAGGACTTGAGGTGGCTGCCCTCTTGGAGGTGAGAAGACCTAGCAGAGGCATGATCGGGCCAGGGCCATGGTCACCATCTCCAGAGAGTCGCATAGTCATCTCCAGCCGGCCTTTTTTCCAGTTGATGCGCATATTTTGGCATTGAGTGTGAAGCATACTTTTGGTTTTGTGAGACATTCAATGCAGTATCCAGCTGTGATTGAGCTAGCTACGAGATGTCTGCTGGTCCCCATGGCTCAGGAGCTGATCTCAGTAGCGAGAACAGCCTCCTCCTCTGGGACTTTGCTAAGTCCATGAGTTTGAGGATTTCTGGCTCCTGGTATCAGCACTCCAACCTGCATCGCTGGACTTGGTGACCAAGGAGATCGAGCACATTCTTGTTACCACTCGCTGGACGATCCTCCATACCTGCAGGGTTTACAGGAGTGCCGATTTCTGTTGCACTGATCATAGACTGGTTTTAGCGGCCCGATGGGTCACTTCAAATCCCCGTCTTTCCAGTAGCCACTCAAGGGTTTTTCACTGGATAGATTGAGGTAAGAAGAGTGTATACGGAGGTTCGCCTTAATATCTAATCAGTTAACAGTGCTTGAAAACTTGACAGACTGTAGCTTTATGGGATTCCTTTAAGCATGAAACTCTCGATGCAGCGCAGGAGTTCATTGGCGACCGCTCGAGGACAAGGCAGAATTTCATGTTGCTGAAGACAGTGGAAGCCACAGATGCGTGTCACGTGGATCGTCTCCATGACAATCAGTGCGCAGGGCTCGGACTCTGCCAAGAATAGATAAGGAACATCAGGAATCATGCCGGGTAGGTAAGAGGCCATTGCCTAGTAAATGACCTTCGTCCTGCTTACCAACCCCTGAAATACTCCAAGTCCTCCTTCCGGATGACTGCAATCCTCTCAGTGGATGGACGGATCATCTCAGGTTATGGGGCACATGCACGGGCTGTGTGTACAAACACACACACACACACATATGTATACATATATATACACTCAAAAGTATATGCGTCAATATCAACATCCTGGACAAGTGTGATACACCATCCCAACCGTTATTCTACAAAGATGACTTATCCCACACCCAGGGTCGGATCCAGACATTTCAGAATGGGGTAGCATGGGGATGTGGAACCCCACCACCATGCAGGAAAACATTACATATATTCCTCGCTAAAGCTACTATCGAGTGTTCGGGTATTCAGAGACCTATTCCATGTGTTGATACAAGGAAAAATAGGAAGAACAAAAATACAACTTCGACATATCCAACAAAATCCCTTTCTCTTTCTCTTGTCATATTGTTCTCTCAAACTTCAGCTCCTTCGTAACCCTTAGTGTACTGATGGATGGCAGAACAAGGAAAGAACTCCTCTGATTTTTATCTGAGCGTGACCGCCAGCCAGATAATGGTCTAGATATGGAAAGTACATTGCCTCCATCATTAGAGAAATGTCTGTCATATCTTGTTATGTCCAATGTAAATATTTCAATACAGTTTGGAATAGAGGGGGGGCTTTCTTTCTTTCAGGTTAGGGTAATAACAATAACAAAAACGAAAAAAGGCGAAAATGGAGTCGATAACCCAAATAAACACACACACACGCGCGCGCGCGCGCGGTAGCAGTAAAGTGAAATATGATGGTATCCCTGTGCAGGTATATTAGGCATATTTGCACGGAGAAAATAATTTTAACTGATGTTTACTTTTTAATTTAACTGGTAGCTTATGGGTTAAATTCCCAAGACCCAGTCTGTACTTACATAACGTTAACTATACGTGTGAAGTGGAAATTGCTGCAATACAACCAGTCAGCGATTTAAGTCAGATGCAAACAAAATATAGACAATTTTACCTCTCGTAAACTTTCAGCCTGTCATGTTATGATGTACCATGCTGATAACTATGAAAGATTAGCAGCAGGAGCCGAGTTATGACATTTCAGTAAATGCCAGACCTAATGACATATCCAGTTAAAGGATCCCTAACAATTTAAATTCGTTTGTTGATAATGAGTCCGCTAGGAAACTAAATTTCCTTCAAAAGTTCATGGAAACAAAATACATCTAGATTGTTTTATAAGTCTGGAAATATAATACATTTGTCAAAAATCAGTGACCTTCATTTAGCTCAATGATGGCGCAGAAGACGGTAGCATTAACATTTACTTTTGGGCATTCCATTGAATAATACTTATAGGATTTTTCTTAATTCTGTTCGAAATTCTTCATACCGCTTATATAATAGCTATATTAGCATTCTCTAAACATTCATCTCATTGAGGCTTAGACAAATATGATTTTAATACATTTAATAACATTTGTAATTTCAGTCTTACAATCGGCCGTTTTACATGATTAATTAAGCCAGTCCTTCGTCGTTGAAGATTATCTCTTCCACATTTCCCCCTAATATTGTGTTTTTGTAATGAATGAAATAACCTCCTACACTTTTACGTCAACCATAAAGCCGTCTCGTTGCTTCGAATCAGGGTTATCTGGCTCGAATAGTGTTTATTACGGTGAAATTTTATCCCAGCCCTGGTCTGGGTATTCAGGTTTCTTACGGACGCTGTCGAGCTGTCCTTGTTTGTCACTCTCCCCTCGTTCTTATCTGTGGTTAAAGTCATTTCTCTCATTACAAGAACGATGTTATTGCTCATGTTTACGAAACGTGAGGTCCAATTTTATGAGGTGTCACAAGTAGTAAGTCATTAAAGAGGGTTATATTCTTTAACTGGAGATGAAATTCGTTGAAGTGGGCACTCTGTCAATCAGGTATATATATATATATATATATATATATATATATATATATATATATATATATATATATATATATATATATATAAAGTTGGAAATTGTAAATGAACATTACTGTTGTATTTTGTAATGTATTTCTAGCAGTCGATTAATATATTACAATACTATCATTAGGAGATAATGTTTTGGGTTTGATGCAAATACAACAAATTACCATATGGTGGAGAGATGATTATAGTAATTTCTTTACCTCCGACACACACACACACACACACACACACACACACACACACACACACACACACACACACACACACACACACACACACACACAATGTTTCGAATTAATCAAAAACAATAACAAAACTTTGTAATTATGAAAATATATTCCTAGGACTTTATACATATTACGTTCTATTTAATGTTTGTTTGGGGCTTTTAAGACGACGAAGAGGTAGAAAATGCTATTGATTTAGTCGAGTAAGGCGCATGTAAAGTACGGTAGATTCGCTGGTCATTTTGTTTAATCTTCGCATCTAGTCCAAGGCCTTTCTTCCTCCGGGCGAGGTCTTCAAAATGAATCGTGGAAAAAAAAAATCACTTGCATTCTTGTAAAATACTGGTTTATGGAGTCAGTTCTTCACAACAGCTGTTTGTATTTACGAAAATGTGAATATTATTTCTATGGTGCACAATGTCAGTGCGCACGGCCAACATACACGGAAGTATTGCCTGAGAACCGCCCGACACTGTATACAAATATAATGCAACTGTATCTGCGTCCGACACTGTATACAAATATTGTGCAACTGTATTTTTTGTAACGGATTTGTGAGATTCCAAAAACAGACTAATGCCAGTATGAAATAGATCTATCTGTTTGTATGTATGCGTGAATGTACAAT